GCTAGGATAATTAAAAATCTCGTAAATCATCGTAAATCTTTAGTATTGTTGAAAAGAAAATGTCCTGGTACGTGCCTTGACCGTCGAACTATTATATTTAGACAAATTATGTGAGTTCATGGGCTCTATCTTTGAAAAATTAGTTGTCTGATATGACAAATATTAGAGATTTAGACAATTTATGTTTCCCATTAATGCAAGAATGAAAATAAAAAATATAATCGTTACGGACCCCACACAAGAAATAGAAATTCGATGCGATGGATTGCCTCTTCATTTTTCTGATTCCCTTTTTTCCTAAGCGTAATGCTATTCGTAATCGCTCAGTATGACAATCGTCCTACGTGACACACATATGGCATGTGATTATTGGATGATTAATGTGGTAGTTTCGTATTGGTTCGTGCATTAAAGAACCACCCTCTATGTATATGCCACGTATAGCAATTATCGTAGTGAACGACTACAAATAGTATTATTTTTTTTTTATTATAAATTACACGCATTAAATTATGTAAACATTGTTTATAGCATAATATTTTCAATTCTTGTGTTTAACTAGAAAGTCAAGAAGTGCGTCCACTTAACGATTAAGTGGATGGCGACTCCGTTAGGACTTGGAAACTTATCGGAAAATTACAACAATGCTCCCCAATATTTGATAAAATAATCACTTGAATCTCCAATTAAATATTTCTGTTATCAGAACTTCAGCTTCTCATTTTGATAATAACGAGCCCATACTAAATGGGAACAACCAATTTTGCGTCGAAGTGACTTGGTTTACAATTTTCTCCATCCCAAGACCCCTCGATTTGGGAAAGAAAAGGGTGTAGAGCGACGTGAATGTGATTGGAATGCATTTTTGTTTCTTGTCTTCTCACATTTTCCTTGGTTTTCAAGAAAGGAGATGGTGGCTATCAGGCTTATGAAAATCCCTCAAAATTCAGACCATGTGTAAGGCACGCGATACTTTCTTAAAAACCAATAGCTTTCGTCCAATAATGAGCTTGTGCACCAAAGATGAAAGGATGGGATGTAAAAATTAGAAAAAAAAAATTAATCAGAGACTCAATTGCTTATTTTATCAAAGTTGGAGAACCATCGCTTTAAAATTCACATAAGTTGAGAAGAGCAAAGATATGGATGCACCCCCCCCCCCCAACCACTACCACTCACACACTTAATTAATTACATTATACTTAATTCTTATTAGCTCAATAACTCTTACAAATTTATTGAAACTTAAGGAGTACTAACTAAAGATTAGTAGTCCAAAAGAATTTTATTTTCTTATTCCAATGGAAGAATAATCATAATAATCTAGAAAGTTGACAGCTAGAGTTAGTCCACATAGAATTTCACAAGTATTTGCCCAATTCTTCACTTTTTTTATTTGAATTTATTTAATTTTTCTCTCTTTGGTCTAATGGAAGAATAATCATAATAATCTAGAAAGTTGACAGCTATAATTAGTCCACAGAGAATTTCACAAGTATTTGCCCAATTCTTCACTTTATTTATTGGAATTTATTTATTTATTTTTGTCTCTTTGGTTAAAATTCCAAATGGCCCTCAGATATCGATTTACTAATATCTGATAATGAAATGTGAAAAAAAATAAAAATAAAAAAATTACAATAGCCCCCCTTTTGGGCCCATTTTGTAGAAATGAAAATGGGTAAAATAGTGTTGTTTTGAAAAATAAGTAGTTGGAAAATAAGGAAAAGTTTGTTGTTTACGCGTAGAAAATCGTGTAGTTGAAAATAAAAAAGAAAAAAATATAATAGAATGGAGCCAAACGAAGACGACGAATAATTAATTTGGCCTTTTTCTTTAATCAAGTCCTACACGAAATTTATGTCAACGTGCTAGTCAAACTACTTTCTAGCACAAATTATTAAAAAAAAAAAACAAACAAGCAAACAATTTTTTCAATGTATTAGTGGAAATTTTTGTTGAGTGAGATTAAGCCTCTGGAAATTAATGATATTTTCTTTGACATATACGGTGATTCTACATAGAATAATCGTTGAAGAATCATAATAGATATGTGTTACGGATATTGAATTGTAATGTACAATCATGAAAAAAAATTCACTCTTTAAGATCTAAATTTAATAAAAAAATGACTATCAATTCAGTCTGTTTAAAGCTCGGATGAATAACATTTCAACTAGAAAACTTAATTGTGCCTTTCATAATACCTCTTTATACAAATATATAATGAGTAGAGCATCTTAGAGAGATTATCACGGCCCTTTTTGGTGTTCTGGTTACTGATATTCAAGAGTATCGTAGGTTGATAGATCTTCATCGAAACGGGTATCATACAGATTATCTTGTCAAACGTGTCAATGATATTTCTAATTATTTTATTTTTCTTGCACTTTAATTATTTATGGACAATTACATCTTCCGCATGACTAGTTTTTCGTTGGGAATTTACTATTACGTTTCTGTGGTTTATCATATAAATTTGGACTTATCTCACAATTCGTTGAATCTTCAATTTCTATAGAATCATTGAATTTTTTATTCTAAAATCTTCTATAGTCGACGAAATAATATATGTTAATTCTCGATATATTATCGAATCTTTAAGTACTTTAAAGTATTATTCATTATTTCATCATTGTTTGACATTCATTTTTTAAAGCTCATTTTTATTAAAAAAAAAAAATCATTTTCAAGTATACATTTTTCTGATAAAATAATTTTATACGTAAATTCAAATTTTTTTCATTACATTCCTGATATGTTGTCGAATCTTTGAGTACTTTAAAGTATTATTCATTATTTTGTCTTTGTTTGAGATTCATTTTCTAAAATTCATTTTTTAGTACACATTTTCCTGATAGAATAATTTTACATGTAAGCTCAATTTCTGTTTTTTGTTTTTTTTCATTTTTTAACCTTATATTATACAAAAAAAAATAAAAATTTCACAAATTTTATTCTTAAAAAATCTCTACCGAATAGAGACTTCGTATATCCCACTGCATCAATACCTAATTTACACAAAATAATAAGAAAAGCATGCTTCCAATATAACCTTTTGGGCGTACAAGCAGTCCAAACAAGTGTCTTAATTCTTGATGGCAGCTAAAGGGCATTGTTGACTCCATTCAAGAATTTGTACTTGAAAGTTTTAAACCCAATCCCACGACTTCTTATTTCTTGTTTTATTATTACTAAATAGACACGTAATGACTTGGTAGTTAGGGAGTAGGAAAAGTATTTGAGTAATGCTATTAAGCGTTATCAATGTTACAACATTAGTCTGTGTGATATTAATTATCATTGAATAAAAGATAAATTAAAAGAATCGCATAATTTTACTGTTAAATGAATTTATCATATAATGCCACATAAACTGGTGTTCTAGCACCACCGATGTTGGATAGCATCTACTTTTATCTCAAAATTGGTAACAATCCCCTCCAAGGAACAAATTTTCTCACATTCCACTAAGGACTTGTTTGATAAAGTTTTTGAGAAAAAAATTTAACAAGTTTTGATAAAAGATAATAAAAATTGTGGATCACACGAAATATTATGTGATTAAAAGTGAAGATTGTACCAGTTGAAAATTTGATAAAATTTTAGCAAATAAGCACTACGAAACTCTTTCCAATTTTTGTATGTACTTAATGTTTCACATATTTATGATGCGTTCAATAGGGAGGATTAAATAATATTAGAAGGTGAACATAATCATCCAAGAAAAAATTCTAGGGAAATTTTCCCAAATACATGAATTTTATAACAATTTTTTAAAAGTCCGCTTTTGACGGCTAATTTAGTAAATAAAGACTCAGTCTCAACAAATCAAAACGATTATACCAATGAAAATGAATAATGCTATTTACAGTCGTTCTACGTGGTATGGATGTAGCAGTTAGTGATTTGATACATTGATGTGGTAGTTAATACATCAAATTACTAATCGTTACATGTATGCAAGTAGGCGACTATGACAGTGAACGATTACAAGTAGCATTATTTAATGAAAAATCGTGTGAATTGGCAAGAAAAGAAGAAAATAACAATGGGGTGGTTGGGAAATAATAACCCGAGGAAAGAAAATGGGATAAAGGCATATTGAGATTCTGACTTTTTTTATGTCATTTTAATAAAAGAAATCTTGTTTTACCTTTTTTCACACCAATAAGGCTACTCGTACAATTTCTTCAATTTTACGTTGGATGAGTCATTGCTATTAGTCAACAGCTATGTTGACTTCTAAACTTGATTTGTAGACTTATGTCCGAGAACTATATGGAAAAAAAATGATTAATTTTCAATTATCTTAACATAATTTTCAATATCAGTTACAAGCTTTACAACAACACATTAACAAAAATTCTCATGGCCAAGTCATGACAATTTTCTAACCATCATTCATCACCTTTAATAGCAGTGGTGGATTCAAGAAAAATTTCAACACAGGCTAATATGTATTAAAAATATATATATTGCACATAAAAAGAAAAAATTAAGAATAAAATATTTTACTTAATTTATTTTTTTTAATGAACATTTGAGCTGAAGGGACAGGCTGTAGCATGGCTCAGCCCGTCCCTGAATCCGCCCATGTTTAATAGTGTTGTAAAAGGAATTTATAATTATCAAGATTTAAATATTTCTCGTTTTTATTGACGAAAAATCAACAATGTCCTTACTTAATTGTATTTTCTTACAAGCCCTAATGATTTTTTTTTTTTAATCCAAATCAAATCAAATCTCATAAAAGTATTTTATAACTAAAGTGATTCTCTCACAAAAGTTGCAAAATAGGGAAAAGAAGAAATTATTTCTACGCAACAAAGCCACCAAATAAAAATATTATAAGCATAATATAATAATATGATTACTTTACATTGTAAATTTTTCACAGCCACGTAAGCCAATAATTTTCAAAATTAATCTCTTATTGTCCACCCATGTGCCTATATATATAATCATCTTGTGCAAAATGCTGTAACTTCTCAAAACCGCCTCCATTACAATATTCTATATTTCTCTCCTTAACATGGAGCATTGCTATGGTGACGCAACAATCACGAAAATTACATCATCTTCTTCTCCTTCCCCTATTCCTCCACCACCACCGCCAGTGGTAAGCCCTTGCTCTGCTTGCAAGATTTTGCGACGGCGATGTGTAGAAAAATGTGTGTTGGCACCTTATTTTCCACCAAGTGATCCACTCAAGTTTACTACTGCTCATCGTGTTTATGGCGCCAGCAATATAATCAAGCTCTTGCAGGTACCCTACATGTATATATATCTCCAGTTATTCGCCTCTTGTTATGCCACATCATAGGAAAATCTCACTTCTCATAGATTTGAAAATATAATCAACACATTAGCTCCCATTTGGCCCCCATTTTGTAGAAATGAAAATGGGTGGAAAAGTACTTTTTTAAAAAATGAGTGGATGAAAAAGAAAGAAAAATTTTCGATTCATGTGTAACATTATTTTATGGAAAATTGTATGGTTGAAAATATGAGAGAGAAAAATGGAAGATAATGAAATAGAAATTAATGGAGGCCAAACAGAGGCTAAGCATCTGTTTGAGGCCCATTTTCAAAAAAAAAAAAAAAGGAAAAAAAAAAGGAATTCTTGAACTGTATTTTGATTTTATTTCAATCACACATTCTTTAATAAAATAATATTATACGCAAACCCAAAATTTTTCTTATATTTTAACCACACATTTCTATCAATACACTATTCCAAAATTCATTTTTTCACAAAAATGGGGCTCAAACAAGTGCTAAGACCTGAGCTAGTCTCTCCTAAAGATTGACCTTTTTAAAATGGAATTCTAAGACTCAGAGAAATGAACATTCTTATAAATTATCTATTTTTTCCAAGCGTTCCTACTAATATCTACAAATACTAAATAATCAATATCTACTCCGTTAACTAAAAACATGTAACATATAAATATATGTATATTTGAATGACTGACAGGAACTGCCAGAGGCCCTAAGAGTCGATGCTGTGAGTAGCATGGTTTACGAGGCGAATGCAAGACTAAGAGATCCTGTGTATGGAAGTGCAGGAGTGATTTCCCAACTCCAAAACCAAGTAAATGAACTTCAACAACAACTGGCAATGGCACAAGCTGAGATTGTCAATAAGCAATCTCAACAAGCAAATCTTATGGCCCTTATGTGCATGGAAAAATGGCACAAAATAATTCCTCACCAACACCATTCCTCTGACAATGATTACCAGACTAATATGAGCTTCCTAGATGAAAGTCTTGGATCTTTGTGGGAGCACGTTTGGACATGATAATTTTATATCGATTATATCACTACACTTGAAGACAACTCAGGAAACACTTTATAGGACGAAATTAAAATCGAGAATTTCGAAGTTAAATTCTTGACTAGCATTGTTTTGTCGGAACTTATAAACTAGTAATGAAGTTTCAATTATCTCTTATATGTTGAGCCACAAGTATCTTCTTATACATACACCAATTTATTTATTTATTTTTCTTTTTTTTTTCATCTAGTTACATCACACTAACTTTTCATATATGAAATTCCAATGAAATTTGAACTATGATGTTTATCTAAAGCAACAGTTTAAGTTGAATAATCAAGGTTGGATACTTTTGTAGTGTTTTAATTTCTAGGACTTGTAAACTATCCACGAAGTTCCAATTATGGAACCACTTGTCCCCTTAGACCCTATTTATTTTCTTATCAAAACTCTATAACAGAAATTTTTATATGTCGATATGAAATGGAATATAATATGAAAATAATCCTGTATTTTCAATACTTTAAGATTAATTTCTAATGAAATAAAGTTGAAAAGTCTCCTCCATTAAATCGTGTTATCATTTAATGGGAGTGTCCAATCGATCATTTATCAATTGTTGAATTTGAAACAACTTTCAGGTCACCTAATGTTTAAGTTAAATTGTCATGTCATTATCTACAATTTTTCAAATAAAAAGTTTTATTGTTCAAATGATAAAAAATTTAGACAAGACGTTAGAAGAATATATTCAATTTGGAGTTTTAAATCTTTCAAACAAAAAAATCGGAAAAAGATTTTTAGAAATTTATTTAAATGAATGACTTTTGTAGAATTTGATGAATTTTAGCGATTTTTTATAAAATTTTATAGAATGAATGAAAGTTCTTAATAGATTTAAACTTTCATAAAGTTTTTCCAGACTTTTATAGAATTCGTTTGTATTTTACAGATTTTCATTTCGGGGGAGGGATAAAGTTATATCTCTATGCACATCCTTGTTTTATTAAACTATTTATTTATGCGCTATAATAATATAATATTCTGAACCGCTATTTACATGAAGAAATGATTCAGAATAAATAATAACAAAATTATACTTCTCATATATAAAAAAAAAGTGACTAATATAAAATATATAAGTCACCTCAACTAAAAAAGAAAAAAAAAACACCAAAATATAAAAAATTATAACATTTTCATACTCTTTTAAGGGGGAAAAAAGAAGAAGAGAGGAATAAATAGTGTTCAATATTGTCGATATGTCAACCCTATAAGAGTTTATATTCAAAACTCAAGACTTTATGGAGTTATAAAAGTCTTTAAAAACTAAAACATGTACTTTTTAAATATAAGTTCTTAAAAATAAAATAAAAAAGTAAATTAGATTAAAAAAATTAATTTGGTGAAAGTGACAAAGGTCTTCGTAGTTTTTGGCCTTGTTTGGCTAATTGGCTCCTATATTTAATTCTATTTAAAATTCATTTTTAACCACACATTTCATAAGATTCACAATTTTTATCAATTTTTCGATCATACTTTTCATCAATTTTATCAAAATTTACAAAAATTTTGATTTTAAGAAAACTAAACAGAGACTTAGTAACATATCAATTCGTGACAATGAGCACTGAAGTACAATAAAATGAAATGAATAATTTTTAACTTTTTTAGATGTAATTATTATACGATCTGATATACCAAATATGATATAAAAAAAATTTCGCGGCATTTTTTGCGAAATTTCAAACGTGGTAGATGCAGAGTCAAAATTCTACAACACTCGTTCTACAAATAATATAGTCGTAGTTTGGCGGTTTTTGAAAGCTTTATATAATTATTCTTTTGTTTTATGAAATTGAATAAAATATTCTTTCTACTTTTAAAACTATACTCACTTATTGACTATTTATTTTTATGATTAACTTTAGTCCAAGAGAGGCCATTTTGACTTTATTTAACGTTAATTAATTTACAATTTAAAAAAAAAAAAAAAAACTTATATGACATTTTTCTAAAGAGTAAAAAAATCTAGTGTCCTAATTATTTTTATATCAAAACTGAGTCACTAGATTCATGTATTTTCTTTTTTAATTCTCCCATTTCAATTAGTTCATACAAAAAAATATATATATACATATATTAATATATCTTGTAGTGGCAATAGGCTTGACTGTACGGATGAACCGAACTTGACTCATGTTCAAATCTTATGATTGACTTAATTCTTTGGCTCATGGGTCTCCCAAACCAAGTTGCTCAAGAGCACAAAAGAGGCGAGCTAAATAATCCCAAAAAGTTGAGTCGAGCCGTCCACAAAGTTAGCTCTTTTTTTATTATTATTTTTCCAATTAAATTGATAATAAGCTCAAAAACGAGCAATTTTTCAAGAAATAAAAAAAAAAAAAGAAAAAGAAAAAAAAAGAGGGAAAATCGAGCTGGCCAATGAGTAAAATGAGCCCACAGCCGAGCTGTGCATGTCTCGTCTCCAAGCAAACTCACCATGGCCGATCCCAACTTGTGCCCATTTGCCACCACTAGACGTACCCCACTTGATTAATTACATTATACTTAATTCTTATTAGCTCAGTAACTCTTGCAAATTTATGAAAATTTAGAAGTTATAAAGAGTAGAGGTCTACAGAATTTTAGGGTCAGTTCGGTAGTAATTTTGAGAATAGATTTATTGATCGTTAGGAGAAAATTGGAACCACTTTTGAGAAAAGAAATCAAAAATATGGCTATAATATTGAAATAACGATCAAAAAATCAATTTTTTTTGAGCGAAAGATCACTCCCAAATGGGGCCTTAGGCCCTTCCTCTAATTGGAAGAATAATCATAATAATAATAAAAAAGAATAATCATAATAATCTAGAAACTTGACAGCTACAATTAGTCCACAGAAAACATGTTATCATTCTCTGGTAATTGTCAATTGGGCAGGCATCGCGTGGCTTTAATTAAATTAGTCGCACAACTTACTAACTAATATACTTAATTACATTTAGACCTTAAATTTAATTACCGGTCCAATATGTTCGGCATTGCACTTTGTCGAAATTAAGGTAGAGTTAACAATAAAGTCAAATTCGGTGGTCGGACAGGATTGGATTAGATAAAAATAAGAGAGAAGAATATGTAACATAATTTGTTGGAATTGGTTCAAAAATTAACTGAAAATTGGTTAAGTGTAAAACTGAGAAAATGAAAAAGTGTGACTTCGTATCAACTTCGGTCGAATGTTCGGACTTGATCCGATGGTCAAATTACAAAAGTAAATAGATCAACTTATTCTACTTGTCGAGTAGATCGTCGTGGTATATTTGAAATCTTGAAACCAATTTCGGATAAATGAGAAATTGCGGTCCAAATTTGAAAGAATGAAGTGTTGTAACTTTTTGAAAGGATGCAAGTTTGAAATGAAGTGTTGCAACTTTTCGAAATGAAGCGTTGTAACATTCCATGAAAAATGTTGGATTTGGGGTGTATCCCTCCACCCACAACCCTTCATATTCTATATATAGGACCCCTTGAATGTGTATTTGTCATTCCAATTCATTCCATAATTTTATATTATCCATTTCACGTTAAGTTACATAAAACACTTTATATAAATGATTATCTTTTGCATCAAAATCATTGTTATGGTAGAGAGGGAATTCCGTTCGAGTTCGTTGGTTGAAGCCATTTGTAGTGCTCCTACGGCTAGATGTGGTCGTTGTATCTTGGCAGATGATTATCGAAAAATCGTTAGCACCAATGCGGGGCAAATTTATCTTAAAGACCAAGTGTCAAACACTTGTCTCGACCAAAAATTCATCACTTGCATATTTCTTCCTTCATTTTCTGATTTCTCTTAATTATGATTTGATTTCAGAAACTGATTAATATTATTTACATGTTTGTTTTGCGATATTTGATTTAAAAGAATAACTTGCTTTCGTTCAAAAATCAAAAAAGATGAATCCATATTCATGCATTCAGATTCGATAACTATTATTGTTTTACTTCTCAAATTCTATTTTGGTAAGTCGAAATTACGTTTCGATTTCACGAAAATAAATGGTATGCTTTTATAAATATAATATGCACATTTGAATCGGTATATTCCCCAACATAATTTGCCAATCATAGCGACCCACCGAATATTTAGTTAGTGTATTAAACATAAATTAAGTGAGCCAGCCAAGCCTTTGTTGGGTAAGCTGCTCGAACCAATTGATCAAACGATGACTGCTTAGATTTTTTGATTAACTTGGAACTCAAATGTCGTATTTCTAATTTCATTCTTTCTATGATTACTTGATTCAGACCTAATTCCAAACATTTTCAATAATACGGTTAACACTAGCTTGTTGGCATTAAAAATTTAGGTTGAAAATAAGGGAGGCGTTATTTTCATCTACCATTTTTATATATCTATTAACTTTTAATATTCTTTAATATTACATATGTTAATTGGGTGCCGCAAAATCCGGTTGAAATCTAGGAGATTGCGTAAGTGTTTTGGATGTTGAAAGGGATCGATAGCATCCAAAATTAAGGAAATAAAATCTAGGCTCCGAAATTTTTTCCTTTTACATGATTTTTTTAATTGTAACCCAATTTCTTACCTTTTAGGACTCTATTAGGGTTATGGACGTGACCTATAAATTAAAGGCTCCTCTATCATTTTTAAAGAACCTTTTTTGCTGTTCAGTTGTAATCTCTCCATAATTGTCGGGTTTAATAAAATTCATCGTTCCTCTTTTTAGTTTCTTTTTTCTACTTTACTTTAATCTTGTTTTCGTAGTGCGATCTCGAATATTTCATTATTGCCATTAAGTCTTAATCTTGCATTATCTTTGGAATCAACAACATATTTAACCTTACAAAAATTTACTTAAATAGATAAAAATAAAATCTATCATCACTACTCTAAATTCATCCATGAATATTTATCAACAATTAAGCAAGAGATTGCAGGTTTGGCTGTCGAAACTTGAAACTTACATTTCATACTTTTTCAAGTTCAACACTTGTAATTGGGTGTACCTTCCATTAAGCTATATAAGCAAAATGTTACGATAGAATCTGCCAAAATTTGCGCACTCCACAGAGTTAAAAGGAGAATGAAATAACAGTGACCGTACAACTTTTTTACATGACAAGAATCTTAGTACCATTCTATGATTT